TCAAATTGTTAGGTTTCCAGGAAATGCTCGCTGTTGCTTCTGGTAAGGACAGAATAAGAATATATTCGGGGGATAAGTAGTGTGTGCTTCTTAACAGAGACGGTAAAATTATTTTACTATTAATATATTATTTTACTTCCTTTTCCTCGCTGTTTGGCCTAAATATGGTCTTCAGGATTTTGTTCTCAAAATTTCTCAGAGTTTTTTCTTTCCTTATGGTAAGACACCAAGTTTCACGACCACATAAAACAGAGTAAGTAACATCTTCGTATGTCGATTACAACCGAGTTAACCTCAAATATTTATATTTCTGTATTTTTTTATCTTCGCTGTTGTGTATGTGAAACAATACGTTTCGGTCTGTATTCTGACATTCCTACAGGCCCTACGTCTGATGAGGGCGTGTGTATAGGAGGAGAGAGCTTGTTGCATTAACATATTGCATTACTTCCCACCTAGTGTACATTCGAGTTTCGCTGAATTCTGCCTTGATAATATTTGTATAACACAAACAACACACGTGTATTTCATTAGTAACACACCTTTCATAAATACGGTCGGTCATAAGTAAGTGTCAGCTGAATGCGTAAACTGGCAGGCTCTACGCTTAGAGGCTCTACTAGTCTTCAAGTGAAACTTCAGGCATGTAAAGCAGTGGTTCTCAAACAACCAGGAACAGACACTCTTAAGTTAGTTCTGGGTTAATTTAATTTAACCTCTTTTAATTCTGTTTTACGATGTTTCTGCTGTGGCTAGCAACCTCGTATCATTCCACCTTTTCCTACAAACCAACAGCACTAGCGTAACTACCAATTCCACGCACCACAGTCCTTGAAAAGCTAACAGTCACTACACTACACCTTTTATGGATGAAGAAGCTCAATAACGTATTCACAAGAACCTGCCACCGGACTGTGTCAAGAACCACTTGAATCTATTAGCCTACACACTCTCAACTTATCTTTAAGATCCACAATTTAATACTAATAATAATTGTTTGTTTTTTTAGCTCCAAATCTGTACTCTCCTCAGCAATCTCATACACCCTCGATCTCTGAGTCTGTAATAGGTTTAACAATACTACGGACCTCCGATGGAGTCGAATTGTCCATCCTGATACTTCATGCAAATAATTCTTTAAGGCGATTACATACCCACATATAACACGAAATAATGCTTAACCCCACTCCGCCATGTGCTAGAATTACCAGAATCCTTCGCTTGTTTGACAAGAGAGCAAGGTGTGTATCACAGAGGTCTCCACTAGCCAGGGGACCGGGCCTGGTAGCACAGAAAATATTCGGGTTCGGACCTGCTTCAAACGATAGTAATAAAACCTTGAAAAGAACATTTCGACCTTTCTCGCGTCATTATTTTTCAAGTTGCGCTCATTGTACGTTCGTGATACTGTCGGACTCCGGAAACAAATCCAACCGAAGTAATTTCCTCCACGACTCTTGTAGCTACCTCCTCCCAAAAACATTTCGAAAACACTCAAAAAACATGGCATCCGATATCTTGAACCGTTCCTCAAGCGCCGAAATAACTTCGTATTTTTAGAGCTTCCTTAAATAATTAATTTAATCCCAGATGACAGCCATCTCATTACCAGTATTTTTGATTGTGAGAGTACTAACCAAATTTAATTTTTCTGAGAACCAATACTTTCCATTTGACTTTGCGTTCAAAATCTCTCGTCTTTACTTATCTTTTTCCCCTTTTATTTCTTTGTGTTTTTTAACCTGCGTAACTACGTCCAATTTTTGTTACTTTAATATTTGTATTTCAAGACCTGATTTATATTTTCAAAGGAAAAAACGTTCCACGGCACATTACATGAAAATGTCAGTCTCCGATTGCGTACATTCACTCTCAAAGGTCCATCTGTTTTTCGGGTTCTTGCACCGTGTACTCTGGTAGAATTTTACGGACGCTTGTGATGTACTTGCTGCCTACATCGCCAGGGCGAAGAGTGATAGAGGCAGCAAGCACCTCTGAAACGTCCGCACTCCAATTGCGTCAAGACAAGCATCAAGACATGAGACAAAAGACGCAGTCTTGCTTCGTTCGTGATTCAGACTCGAGTCCGCACACCGAAGTAGCACGTGTCTGCGTCATATCACATCTTCTCTAGTTGATGACATGACGTCGTCCAGGTACATGTGGCTTAAATTACGTAAAAGAAGAAAGTGGATTCATGACTTTAATGAGTCGTGTGCGTACGTTTTAGCGCGCGACTTGTTAAACAATCCGGTGAAATTCCAGTCTTATTATCGAATGTCCCCAGAATCCTATAAGGAACTTCTTCAGAGAGTTTCGCAGGATACAAACTATAGGAAAGCTATTAGTGCTGATGAACGGCTACTTATAACATTAAGGTAAGTGTTAGCACTAATTATAAGAAATAAATCACAAAACATGTGCGCCAAATTGTGCATATTTATTTTAAATGTTCATTAGACATGATCGAATCGTTTCACTGTGAAAGTTAAACATTATTATCAACAATAGGGGATTATTGTTGATAATAATGTTTAATTTTAATTGTCCAAAATTTTGAGTACGTTAACCTAGAAAAGGCTACAGTTTTCAATGACATGGTGGCAACTCACATCTGATAACTAGGATCAAAACGTCCATCTCATGGGGAGGGCAATGGCGTACAAGAGCCTGAAGAAGAGCTGGACTGACTCACTTTTAAATAGTGATATTGGGAAGTGGAAGGGCCAGCCTGATTCACATTACTCGCATTTTGAAAATCAGCTGATGAGCTGTACAACGTGTCATGTAAGTTTTGTTGAACAAATAGTTTGAATGCGCTCTTCTGGACAGGTGTTAATTTGGCGACATCCGGCAAAAGGCTTTTGAAAAAGCAAAGGTCTGGATTGTCTGACCTTTCTCCAGGTATCCTTTTCGCTTTCGTTTTTAGGTATGAGGTGAAAACCTCATCAATATCCATTTTGGATCTCTCCCTTTTTTTGCGAATTTCGCGTGGTGGAGGTAGCGATTGCATTTCTTCATGGTCGCTCACATTCCGTACTTCTGTGGTGGTGGGAGATACAGGGTCTTCTTCTATTGTTGGGGAAAGCTTCTCTGTTGTTGGAGGAATCTCCATAGATCCCAGCTGCCTGGAATTAAATCGTCCACTTTGAAAATTCATTAATAACGGTTGTGTAAGAAAGTATAATGAAAGAAAGTAATGAAATAACTCAATTATAAAATCCCCCACCCGCCTAAAGTAAGAAACATGTTGCCCTACCTTCGTGACTTCGTAAATGGAGTCAGAAAGGCCAAGTATTCTGCTAGGTAGTAAGGCTTCTTGGGTCTGGCGGCAGAACCACTGACAGGAGGAGTCTGTCTCAAATATCTCGCCCAGCAGTTTCTGCAGTTCCTCCATTTTTCTTTGCAAGAGTTAACTGTAATAGAAATACATGTTTCTTTTTTTCCAGGTACTTAGCTACTGGAAACAGCTTCAGATGCTTAAGCTTTCAATTTAAGAGGGTGAAACAACGATAGGTAAAATTGTGGAAGATGTATGTTCTGTGTTGCAGCTTGAATTTATGCCAGTTTCTTCAGAAGAGTTGTGGAAAACTATTTCTGATAAATATTTGGAGCTTTGGAATATACCGAACTGCATTGGCTCCATAGACGGGAAACATATCCGTATTCAGTGCCCCAATAAAAGTGGTTCCGCCTTCTATAATTTTAAGGCTTACTTGTCCATTGTCCTACTAGCTGTAGCTGATGCGGACGGACTATTTATTACTGTAGATGTTGGTGATTATGGTCGAAATAGTGATGGCGGCGTCCTGCGAAACTCAGCTTTCGGTAGGAATCTTCAGCAAGGAACGCTGAATATACCCGACCCTAAGAAACTTCCTGCAGATGAAGATGACTGTACTCCATTTCCATATTTTTTCGTGGGTGATGAAGCTTTTCCATTGCAGAGACACATTATGAGGCCCTATCCTCGCAGAGAACTCACAAATGAAAGAAGGATTTTCAACTATAGAATTAGCAGAGCCCGAAAGAGTGAAGAGTGTGCTTTCGGTATGCTTGCCTCGAAATTCAGAATTCTTGGAACGGCTATAGCGTGTAAACCTAATAAAGCAGACGCTGTAATACGGGCAATCTGTCCTTTTTTTTCAGGTACTTAGCTACTCTAAACAGCTTTCAATTTAAGAGAGGTGAAACAACGATAGGTAAAATTGTGGAAGATGTATGTTCTGCAATATGGACTGTGTTGCAGCCTGAATTTATGCCAGTTCCATCAGAAGAGTCGTGGAAAACTATTTCTGGTAGATATTTGGAACTTTGGAATATACCGAACTGCATTGGCTCCATAGACGGGAAACATATCCGTATTCAGTGCCCCAATAAAAGTGGTTCCGCCTTCTATAATTTTAAGGCTTACTTGTCCATTGTCCTACTAGCTGTAGCTGATGCGGACGGATGAAGGCGGTGTCCTGCGAAACTCAGCTTTCGGTAGGAATCTTCAGCAAGGAACGCTGAATATACCCGACCCTAAGAAACTTCCTGCAGATGAAGATGACTGTACTCCATTTCCATATTTTTTCGTGGGTGATGAAGCTTTTCCATTGCAGAGACACATTATGAGGCCCTATCCTCGCAGAGAACTCACAAATGAAAGAAGGATTTTCAACTATAGAATTAGCAGAGCCCGAAAGAGTGAAGAGTGTGCTTTCGGTATGCTTGCCTCGAAATTCAGAATTCTTGGAACATAAATCTTTTCGTTTTATGTGTGAGTGAGAGCTTATGCTCAATGTGTATAATAGTTAATTCAGTCATTAGCTCATTAAAATAAAATTAATCAGTGCACTTACCATTTATGTTGACGTCTTTTGAAACTGCAAGCCAAGCTTTATCAACCTCCTCCTTGTTTGAGTGGCCCGGGGACAAATAATCGTATATTACCGGGAATTTCTCAACCGTCTGCACTATTTTAATATTTATTTGGTCTTCACTCATGTCGATAACGTACACTGGTGCTGTTCCTTGAGTACTGATGTCTCAGTCTTGACGCAAAGAAAAAGAACATGCCGAGTCTTACTGCACGTGTCTGCAGCATGAAGCTGACGTCAGCATCATGACTCAGACCGGTGTGCGGCGGTTTTCATAATCTCATTCGTTTCAACTGTGCTCCTTTCTTTGCGTCGTCGCAGACATCGTGTCTTGACTGTTACATGTCTTGATGCATGCCGGTGTGGGGCCTACCTTAGGGTGAGTTCAAAAGCGACATAAAATGTGTTACGACTTTAGCACTGAATACGCCATCCTCTTCTGCCATCTACTGGCGGAAATTAAAATTAATATACGTTACATACCAACTATCAATCTATACCGCCACCTACTGCGAGACTCTGAAACTAAATACCCTCTTTCCATCAACACTTACTGCCACCTACAGAGATACACTACAATTAGGCACCGAACTTTCCAGAATCACATGATAATTTTATAGTTTGAATTAACAGAAATATTTTTCAAAGGAATTTCGCAAAATAGCAAACAAACCTCAAACCATGATGATTAAGTGCTTTTGATCAAATATTCATCATCGTGAACTCCCTCTCGCTTATTTAAACAATACCGTGATTCAATTTTGATATTGACTGTTGATATATGCAGTCATTCCTCCATTTCAGCGACTTCATTTCATTAGTTCGCTTGTTCGTAGTTGAATTTTTGTTCTGAAGTTTAATGTGGCGTATCTTCGCAAAACATTAAGTGATGTTAGTAAAGTAAGGAATGAAGACAAAAAAAAATAATGCATAATTTAAAACGTGTGCATAGTTTGGCATCTTATTTATCAGATGCCATGAATTTATTCGCAAAAAATCGCAGTAACGTGCTTGCAGGTATTTCTGATTCTACTATTGGCTACTATTACTGCGACTATGGCGATGATGCAGTAACGCAGAACTAATTTGTTTTATAGAAAAGCGATAATCAGAAGTCATACTGGGGCACAGCAGTGTTACAGACCAAATAATTAAAACCAAGGACTGGAATGTAATACGGAATCGAATATTGGGTTCCATAAAATGCGGAGGAATCCCTTGACAAGTTGAACTACTACCAGTTTCTGACGAAGCATCCTGCTCTACTGAAAAAAGTTTCGAGCTTCAACCGTCATTTGTTTTGAACGTTACTTGTTACAGCAAGGACAGTCACGAAAAGAATCCGGCAGTGGGACGCTGGTTAAGAATGTGAACGATGACTTGACATCCAGATGGCTGCTAAACGAGATCTTGCACTGAAACATCTGTGAGACTAGGGTTAGGAGGTTGTCTACAGCAAACAACGCTGAGTTCTATCTTACGTATTAAAAATGCCCCACCTCCTCTTATAAAGCCCCAAGGCCTCCTACATCAACACACCTAATATTTGTTTAAAAGTTTATTTAACGACGCCGTTTCAGACTGGTCGAAAGACAGTATGACAGTGAATAATGAACTGGAGTGGAAGGAAGCGGTCGTGGCCTAATTTAATGTTATTTCCCTTATAGAAATAAAACGCCCGCCTGTAAGTACGCCCGGTACGATTTACCTCTCGAACCACTTGATGGATATGGACAGAATTTGGAAGATGTATTCTAGTTTTCCTTGTTCCTTCTAAGCGATATTGAGATAATAGTTATCAGTCAACTAGGTTCAGTTTTCAAACTCCGTTCTGTATTATGCGGTCTCCGTTGAGAAATCGTGGTTCCGACTGCTGCTTTGTTCTCGTTTCTACTAGGCCTGTGTTTTCTTTCCAAATGCATAAAATGTCGTGCCTGTCGGTCTAAAGATTTCAATTCTAAAACGAGACAAACAGATTTCTATGAAAGCAGATTTGAATGTGAATTTCATTTATTTCATGTCAGCCCAGTACAACCCCTATTAAACACATAGCTAAGTAGATATTTATCACTCTTATAAAACTACTTATCGTACGAAACATTTATTCATGCATGATATAAACACAGATTTCAGTACGGACTACAACTTTTATTGTTTCAATACACATATGATTCACTTAGTAGGCAATAACGTCCACTGAATTGGTTTTCAGTGGAAAAGTAACATTTTCTATTGATGGGTTTCTAGACCTGAGGATGGAAACAAATGCAATTTCCGAAACGTATTTTGTTCGGAATACTACACGATTAGCAAAGTCAGGAAACCCAGAGATTCTAATTGTACGAGTTACTAACATTCCGAAACCATTATTTTAAATGCCAGTAATATATGTAGAATCAGTAGGCCTGAACGGAATGTCAAGTATTTTTACGTGCAGAATTAATTTAACAACGAACTATACAATGTGTATGTGAGGGGATAAAATGAAATTGGATTAGAGAACGAATACAGGTCTACAAGGTGAATCAAAAATTACTGTGCACCTCTAAGAACTTACTGTTAACGCAAGTTACAACAAATGCTTGAAGCATCTACCACATTCATCTTGTTGGGGAAGACACCTACCAATTCAGTACGTGGCTACTGCTGAATTAGTGATGACTTCCTTCAGATGACAGAAACTGTCGAGATATTCTTTATACGAGGTGCGAAAGTTTCAAGACTGTGTCAATAGAGGGCGAACCGGATGTAGTACGAGCTTCTGCCGCTACGGGGTGCGGCCTACATTCATAGTGAATCAGTGTGCCAGCCGGCATCATCGAATTAGCATTTGTTTCTTAGTTACGGGCGTTTTGGTAGTCTGACGACCAGAAGCAGAATCGACTTCTCGTTTGTCAGGAGCTCAAAGATCTTGCAAGAACCGACCCCAACTTCCTTTCTAAGCTCCGTGTGACTTCTTCCTCTTCCCAAAGATGAAAATTCAGCTAAAGGGAAGGAGATTTGAGACGATAGAAGAGATTCAGGCAGAATCGCAGATGGTGCTTGACAGGCTGACAAAGAAAGATTTCCAGGGATGCTTCCAGGCATGGCAGCGGCGCTGGGATCGTTTTGTTCACTCCCAGGGGAACTACTTCGAGGGTGATGGATGAATTTAATACATGAGATAAGTGTACGGGTTTTTATACGCGCAGTCTTGAAACTTTCCGATCGCACATCGTATTCGTAGATGGTCTCACTGGAGACTGGTCGGCCACAGCAGTGTTGTGGGACGGAAATTCAAATGCCTGCTCGTTGAAGCTTAGAATGTTGGGAACTTGAAGAGACAGCGATATTCTCAGTTTCGGCATTATGTGACGCAGTCGGAAGAAAGTAAGGCGACTTAACCGATGCTTCCGTGGAATGTGCCGCGTTTACCCTAAACGTGCGGAACTGTTTCACGCGCGTGCTGCTAGAAATATTGTATGCGCTCTTGTATCACCCGGCTGGAAGCAGCCGTGGGTTAATATCGTCCTCATTTAAATGACCAATAACGGGTATAGAATGAGTTCACAACAACATTCAGAGCTGATAATGTACTCAAGGAATATGAGATCAACAGACCTTGGGACATCAACCTTTATGGTAATGCCGTGGTGTCTCCATAACCTTACGCAACCGATCAAACGCTGACCACAAAGCACTTTGTTTGGGAATTGACCCAACAGGATAGCCGAAACCACGCTTCATCCCTAAAAAATCTAACTTCCAGAACATCTCTATTAGCGGTAAGGAAGTATCTAAACCACCGGCGGTATTGCACGCTCTCTCAGTTTATGCAATGACGTCATCTTGTTCGGATGCACGTGCATTTGTTTCAAAGCGCAATGTTAATCGAATACGATACGCCTGCTTGCAGTGACATTTTGAGAATTGAATTTTCGGGCTTAGCATTATGCGATAAGAATGTCCGGTTCTTTGTTCTGTATCAATATTTGTCGCCTGTCAGATCTGGGCGCATCAACTGATCAAGTTTCCTTAAACTTGTCAATAAATGTCCGCACTATTGCGATTTGATATTCGAGATTCAGGAAAAAGTTCCGATGACTTCTATTTTACCACCTTTGTGTATTGATCACGACAAAAGACGTGTTCCAACAAAAATTCTAGTGCCCCAAGCGACAACACGAGTTCAGAACACTTCAACGTGTCAAAAGTGCTCATCGTCTAGGGCACAATTAGTTGAAGAATGACAGAGTTCAAGATCATACCTTCACGTGACAAACATGTCACGTGCGCCACCTTGGGCGCTCGTGTCCACAGGGAATAACTTCCGAAACTTGTTCTTACACGTTCACGGGCCTTTTGAATCACCCTGTACAATTAATACCTGGAATCTTAAAATTCTGGCAATTTAAAACAGTGTTTAGGTTTTGGACATAACAAGCATGTAAAATTAGTGTAACCCCGGAAGATGTTGGTAAAACATTGGTTGTATTTGACGGTCACTAAAAATAGTCCAACACAACAGAAACGAGGAAGGATATTAAACAAGGAAAGTGATACGATTTTAAACAGGGTTATCTGTAGGGCGGATGGAATAGTAACAACAGAATCAGGAGTCCAGCAGATTTGCAAACTAGAAAGGATCGCGCCTGGAAAAATGTGTGTACTCAAATGAGATCACCTTGCAGCTGATATTGATATTTACAGGCATACATGTATCAGCTGTTAGCCCTGTGGTTAGTAAAGAACCTGTGCAAATCTCTTCTCCATAGCTCGACATGTGTTCCACCACTTCCTGTGCTGTTAAAATCCAGGCGACATTGCTTCACGCCGGAATCCCTCAGTGTCGAGGTTTCCGCCAGAACTGTACGAAGTACATACCGTGCATTACGCTGCTTATCTTTTAGTACAGAGAGATAACTCCTGTTTATGACAATTTATCAGTACCACAGAATACGTTCTGCCCTTTTAAAAAACCTTATACAGGGCAGTTTTACACGCGATAGCTGAGGCCAGCTCATGGTTGACCAATGTGGCGGTCACTCTCTTACAGTTCCTGGGAGAACTTTATAATTTTAACATGGATTGGCAAACTGCGGGCCGAGGGCCGCATATGGACCTCGCAATTTTTATGAGGTCTGTCACGCACTTTTAAAGTCATTGCGAAAAGGGAAAAAAAATTCTGCGAGACAGGAACAAAAATTATCTAAGCGTAGGGCGAATAATCGCAAAATAAATTTTTTTAAACAAAAATTTGTAGATGTTCTATAACATTAAAATCGCGTTATGGCGAAAAGGTATACTGAGTGTTTAAACTATAATAAATTATCATACAAAATAAAAAAATTATTATTGACTGGAGTTCTGTAAAACTAACACTGATTTGAAATCAAAACTATATGAAATCTAACAAACAACTTCTTTACATTAGATTTCTGTCTTCTGGGTTATT